ATCCTATGTAGACAGCGGTTTTCGAACACCGAAAGTCTACCTTATCCTGTTCCCGTAATGGCCAAGTCTCTGCACCGTAAAGCAGAACTGGCCGAACTGCTGCAGCATATATTTGACCACTTCACAGACAGCCGGATCTCACGATGGTGCTACTAATTGTTCCAGTTGGCAAATGCTAACCAGGCCCTCTGTATGCGTGCTGATACTTCATGTGTGATGCGCCCGCCAGGTGAGATATGGATGCCCAAATAAAAAAAATTGTCTACTTCCTTTTATTACGTCCCCAGTTAGAGTGAGGTTGGGGATGAACCAAATCAACCTTGTAGCAACATTATACAGTTCGAAGGCGCAAAATGCATACCCAAAGTAGATAAACTATCCAGAAAAGCTTGCAATTTAGTTGGATCTTCACTTAGTAGCACAGTATCCTCTGCATGCTCTGCAGATCAGACAGTCTGCCACCTGAGATCAAATCGATCCCGCTATCCTCGCACGAGGATAAGGTTGTTCCAAGAAACATGGTTACACTAGCACTCAAACTATTCAAAAAAGGTTGCAATTTACCTGAGATTTGAGTTCCATTTCACCTAGTCACTGACCTATGCTCAGGTCGATGGTTTTGCAGAAAATGCCTTATTCTGATCTGATGGTACCGTACCAATCACTTAATCGTGAAACTGTGGCATTCCTTGACTACACTGATTTGACGGAGTTCGGAAGTTTAGGAATTTAAATCGAAAAAAGTTTACAGACTTCAGAGTCCATAGAACATAAAAATATGACGGTGTTTGTCTTAAATCAACAGTAAATTGGCTCCCAAGAATTGTTAATTTGTATCCGGTCCGAGCTACTATCAACAATTACGTAATCACCGTATCACTGTGAGGTTGCATTAGTCCATTTCCTAAGAGACCATTGCATTCTTTCAAGACATTCACATCTTTATTCTTAGGAGAAAATTGAACTTGTATTTTAGTCAGACAAATTCACCTAATTGAAGCCATTACTCTGAGTTAATCCAAGCATTAGATGAAAAGATTCCACAGGTTTGTGGGAACCTTTTTGGGGGCATATCTATTCCAGTTTTGCATCCGTCAATACTCACTCTAATTCACGTGCCATCGCGGTGGCTGTGGATAGGGGCACTTGACGTTCAGATGTTAAATCTGACTTGTTTCCCACCAGAATGACATCCGGTCGTTCACAGTAGGCATGTTCTCGTAAAAGTTGCATCCATTCCCGACAGTTGTACAAACTTTGCTCGTTGGTCAGGTCGAATAGAAGCAGAAAACCCATGGCGTCACGAAGTAGCACTGTACATAAGCTGCGATATCTAGATTTCGGGGAAACGGTTTAACAGGGATTGGAATCGGTTGAAGATTATCAAAATTTAAAAATAGGTATCCTTAGTAATGCAAATGTAATTTTCTAATGTCACGAATAGGAATCATAAGCGTATATGTGTGTTAAAACGTACACGTAAAACCATACATAAACCATGAAATCTTATCTACTAGAGGAATGTTTGACTCGGATTATCGTATACTGGGACGCCCCAAATTTTGAAGCTTTAACAAATTTCACCCACGGCGAAATAATCCAAGTCGAACAGATGGCAGGACAGTGAGATAACTGTCGGATAAGATCAGACAGAGTAGTTGCTTTTTTGCCAGCAACGATACTCTTACTGTCAATTTATATCAGATAATGTTTTTCGAAATGATTTCCATTTGCATTGAGATTGTGTCCTCTGTGTGATTATCTCAATGGAGCATCTGAGCCCCTGTGCCATCCACCCCCGGGCGTTGCAATCAGGTCCACTCACTCCCTATCCCTGGTCTTAAATTCACATTGATTTGATAGTCATTGTGAGTTTGTTGCGGATCAGTGAAGATTCTGTCATGCTATCATACGATAAGTTCAACTGCGGTTTACTTTTATCGTTACGCCTTACACTGTGATTTCTTTTGTCCCGCCTGACTGCCCCTTCCTCTTGCATTCATTACCCACGGATATGCACATAACATCGACCGGAAAACAATGCGACAACAATGAAAATGACCTGGGGGATGAGGGAAATGAAGGTGAATATACTGATAGTAGAAAACAACAACCTGAACAAGCATCGGAATGTTGTTCTGTGTTATTTTAACGTGCACCGTTTTTATCTGCTTCTTATCTTTGGACAGGGGGTTTCAACAGACAGACAGACAGACAGACAGACAGACAGACAGACAGACAGACAGACAGACTGCATTCACACCACCGACTTAATCTGAACCATATCTCTCAACGTCTTGAGTCAACAACAGTTCTCTTGCCTTGGACCACAATCGAGCAGGTGGGCACAGCCACACGAAGCCAGGGTTGAAACTAACTTGTACGCAACTTTAAATCAGGACATTTTCCAGCAGACGCATTGCTTCAGGCTTGCCCAACACGTGCCAAATGAGCAGGTATAGGCAAAACATGATTGGGCCATCGGAGGCCGCGTGGGATAATTTGGGATTTCAGAGACTTTCAATACCTTGGTCTAATTGAATGGAACTCAAGACTAGACGCACTAACGTATCCACATCTAACGATATTTTCAATGGTTGTTTTATCATAAATTTACCGATCAGCAGCGATGTTTCT